CCTGGATACATGAAAGTCTCTTCGGATTCGTCTAAATCAGTCTTAACATCTGTACTAATTATTCCGTTATTCTCTATATTTACCATCTCATCGTCGTGATTTTCATTTCCTCTGTCCATTCTAGATGCCCCAGTCTGTTTCATTATTCTCAACTCTCTATCCTTTTCTAACGAAGCTTCGCCAGCTTCTAATTCTCGAGACAGCTGACTCCTATTTAAAGAATTGTCTTCTCCAGTTTTTTCTACCACTTGATCATGTCCCTCGAGAGAACTGACATCACCGTCAGACTTTATTTTCTTCTCAACGTCGCTTAAAGTCTCGATTGACGTCCAATCAGACTTATCACCTTTTTTATTTTCATTTAAATAGCTCTGGTCAGACGTAACAGGAGCCTTGGAAGTCGATTCATACGAATTCACGTCGCGTGTCTCGGTTTTGCCCTGATTATCGCCACCTGTCGACGCGTCGTATCTTATAATCGCAGCTGCGCCAGCGCGAATGTTTGCGGTAGATTGCACTTCAGATGTGTCAGCTCCGGTTGACTGATGCGCCCTGTTTTCATCTCCTGTTTTCGCGCGGTGCGTTCCACCAGTTGTCACAGGTGATTCAACGTTTTCTGCGGAATCGACGACGCTTCGAGCAACGGCACCGGCTGACACGTTTAATGTCTGATCGTTCGCTAAAGTTTCTGCGCTTCGCGGGCCATTTTTCCTCGTTTGGCTCCGTGTGATCTTCGAGTCCATTGAATTAACGACACTCGACTTGTGGTTTAGCTGATTTTTTCTTAAATGTTCAATCATCTCATCATAAATTTTGGTGGCCAATTTTCTATTCCTCACTTCTGTTGAATGAATTTTACGGCGATCTTTCTTAGTTTCTTTATAATTCCTTCCTACCACTTTCGATTTTTTACTGATTGTTGATCGATCGTATCCTGTTTCAAACTCTTTCTTTTCCGTTAAAACTTCATTCGCTTTTGTTAAAATTCCTGTATTTCGTTTGTCTCCATTAGCATCCTGGTATTCTCGTAACTGTTTATTATGTTTTCTACGTGAAATGTTTTCCTCGTTTTCTTTATCCTTGGCTCTTGATATTTCATCTTCTTCATGGACTTCCATAGTTTCCTCCGATGATGCAACTCCGTGTTCTTCTGTTGTCCCTCGTCTTTGGCTCGACGTTCCCAAAGAATAAGAAGAATCCGAGGAATCGGTACGGTTTCCGTACGAGCCATTCTGTATATCTGTATCACTCCTGTCTGATAAATGTTCTGCCCATTTTTCTTCTTGGCTGGCAATAATAGACGAGTCATCGTATTGTTTACTCTCATGCTCGGCAGATTCTCCATACATCTTCTCCTTATTCTCGAACCATTCATCATCTGTTCTTTCATCCTCTTTGTCTTCCTCAGCTGAAACTGCCTCACCATTCTCGAAACTTACATACCGTTCTCCATTTGATATAAGTTTTTCTTCATTCCTACTGCCTGACTTAGGTTTCTTCCTTTCTGTGTCACCCCTGTCGTTTCCAATAGTTAGCATTTTCACTCTCTCGTTTGATGTTATCCACTCGTTTCCGATATTTTCGTGAGAATTTATACTGTGCTTTCCCTGTCTCGTCGACAGAGCATTGTGTTTATTTCTTTCCCAGGCTTCTTTCTCTCGCTCGCTGTCTATTTCCTCCTCAGACAGTGATTCCTCTTCAATACGCTCGCGATGCTTCACGTGGCTATGTTCGTTCTCCTCGGTGTACGCAGGAATTGATGTTTCAGCTGCACTCGCGTATTTATCATATTTTTCATGAATATTTTCACGAGTGTCTATCTCTTCGCGTGCATCTTTTCGAGGAGAATTTTGCTCGGTCCTCGTCCCGTGCGACTTTATATCATAAGGTACACCATTATCGTTGCTTCGACCAATTCCGATGCTTCCAGATTCCGGAAAATGACGTTTTGGAGGCTTAAACTGGAATCTGTGAATTTTTTCAAAGCTTGGTAATCCACTTGTTTGATCATTCATTCTGTTATATTGTAGATTGATATTTTCTATGCCTTTTTTATCCTTTACTTCCGATAATTTGTCGAAGAAATATTGAAATCTTGGCCTCTTATGATATATTTTATTTGGTATCTCTGGTTTCACATGAGAGCCAGAATGTATAGATTCCACACGTTTTTTGTTACTTTTACCAGTAGGCATATGAACTGATCTATCAAAATCTTGTTTATATTTTTCTTCGTTTATTCTATTAGTACCTATATTATTATCATGTAAATTCAAGTATCGATCCCTGGTATGAGGACTACGAGCCAAGGATTCATCATTTCTTTTCTTATCCCTTCTACCACCATACAATTTCGCTAATACATCACGAGGATCTGGAACGAAGTCCTGCTTCTTTTTCAAAAATTGTTGATTAGTGTATCTTTTGCCATTTTCTTCGAGTATGTGATTTTTCTTAATGTAGCTCTTTGTATGGTCTGGATTTGCATTATGACTATGACTATTTTTATCATTTTCGGATAAATGTTCATCTTCTTCTGATCCATCCTTTTCTATTCTCTCCAAGAACCACACAGGCTTCACTTCGTATTCGTCACTGTACCGCACCTCTTCATTCGGTATCTTATAATCTTTCCAGACCCATGGAACTGAATCGTCAGAATATTCTCCATATAAGTTCAATTTCCACTGGAGAACGTCATCTTCACTGTCCCCAGATAGTTTATGTTTTCTCTCATCATCATTTCTCGAAATACTATCCCAATCATACGATTTCTGGTGATCTATCAAAGAGTCTGAAGACCTACCGTACGTCCTGTCCACATTTGCCTTCCGAAGCGATTCTCTATTTTGATGTTTTCTTTCTGTTCTTGTATAATGTGGCTTAGCAGACGATTTGAACAACGTTTCCGTAAGGATTCCCGTACTGTACGGCGATAGGAACGCGAGCCAATCGTCCAATTCGCTGTCTTTCAGTTTTCCTTCGTTTGATTTCACGTTGCTCCATGTTGCTTTGGTATTTTCAAGTATCCCCCGAATTCCATCTCCGTCGTTTGTAGCTTCCTCCACCGTTGCACCCCCCAATCCGAGGAGTCTATCGATACCATGCTGCTTCTCTGCGATAACCTCCGTAGCTAGGTCCAAATTAGGAGAATCCCAGGTCGATATTGCGTAGCGAGAGTCACGACTTAATTCCTGTGAATCACCGATCTCCTTGATTTTTCCTCCCAGTGAAGACACAGAGAGCAATGGTCCCTTGTCATCCTTTGAATTCTCGTCCTGCATATTAAATTTAGATGTTAGAATTAAATAAATTTCTTTCGAAGATTCTATCGACTTCGCTTTATCGGTAATCGATTATTTTTATAGAAAAGTTAACACAATCAATTGGAATCTCAGTTAAAGTATATATTCTTGCATGGTACATGGTATTTAATTTTTACTTTGAAAGTTGGATCTTTACAGGAAAAGTTGAATATCAAGAGCATGAGGTCTCTGCCTCCATTATTCTTATCGCTAAATTATTATTCCTACCAGTTCTCCATAGAATAGTTGACTACATTTAAAGTTTGGTTTTGGCACTCCCAATTTTCGCTGAGCAGAAATAGAGACATTTTATAGTTCATATTAAACTAACTATTACTGAGTTAAAATGTTTTTAAAAATACTTTTATTTCAATTCAATTTTTTTTTTGTCGAGTGTCGTATAAATAAATAATAAATATCAATTTCTGCGACAGCAGAACTCTTATATGATTAGAAATAAGAACATTGACTGTACTGTGAATATTCATCACTGTGAAAACTAGAAAGGAAGAGATAAAATTCTTTTCCACTATCGAACACCTTTGGATCATCAAAGAAAGATCTCACTTCGAGGCAAGCACTGTCGCAATAACTCCGTATTTATTTATCACCGCTGTGAGTCGCCTCCAAGGTGAATCAAAATAAAGCGCGCTCGAGCTTTGTTGGCCGACGTCGAGGATCCTTTGATACTCGAGAACGTGTCCAAACGTACCTGCCTCCCGGCGACGGGAAGAAACAACCCTCCCCAATCAGTTCCGCTCGAAGCCAGCCGCGCTGATCTCGTTTCCGGGAACTTTAATCCAGCCCCGTTGTCGCGTGATTCCCGGTGTCCATCCCCCGTTCGATCGTCCCTCAACAATCCTGCCTCGTCGTAGACCACGGGCGTTTTACGATCCCCTCGTCCAGCTATTCGCTCGTTAAATCCCCGTCGTTCGAGCGCGGACAAGACGGCACCGATCCACAAAAGAAGAGCCAGTAGAACCAGCGGTGTCTTCATCCTCACCGAATCATCGGCCACTATTTTCCGTAGCCGATGAACCGTCGATTATATACCATTTCCAGCAATTGTGAAAACAACCCGTTTCGATGGATCCATGGAACGCGATCGAAACGTGTCCCTGGATCGGAGGCACATACACCTCCTTTTCGTTGATTTGATTTCTATGAACTCGTTTCGACCACGGACGCCAGTTTCCGTTGACCCTTCTGGAAGTTAAATTGTTGTGTATTAGTACTTGCTTCTGATGGATAATTAAGGTTTTCCAGTTCTGTGGTGGATCAAACGACTAGGAAGGCGAATTGAAGAAGTTTAAATGCTGCGAATCTCTAATAGATTCTTTGGAAAATCATGTGATTGAACGAAATTGAATTGGCTTAGAAAATACCTAGTTTCGATGTCATTAAACCACTGTTATGGAAAGGAATTTGTTCACACAATGGAAATTTACATTATTCTCTTGTTATCGTGATGATTTCCATGTTGTGTCGTATATCTTTTTAATTTTTTACAGAGTAAATCTTAACGTTTTTAAAGACGGCGAAACGAAACGGTACGGTTTTTCTCGTATAAAGTTTATTTAATTCGGCGTTAGTGTCTAACGCAACAGTCCGCGGTAATACCGAGCAATTTCGTTCTAAGGTGGACCACTTTTACGGCGTGTGCGTCTAACGCGGTAACATGTGTTTCATTTCCAGCAACAGAGGCACCCGCCTCTTCTTCTCGGTTGGATGTTCCTGGTACTGCCGTTCCTGCCCGCATCCAATCTTTTTATTACTGTTGGATTCGTTGTCGCGGAACGAGTACTCTACATACCTAGGTAATACTCATACTTCGATAATAGTAACTACTGAATAATACTAATGCACAGAAGTCATACATGGATCATTTCAACGAAATATTACGTGAAATAAAAGTTTAACGAATTGAATTTTTTCATACTACGTACGCTTTTTAATTGTAACTATTTCTTATAATACACGTTACTTTAACAATGAAGAATTGCCATACGTGAGAAAGAAGAAATTTAAGAACATTAGAAAGAATTTTATAATTTAAGAGACGATAGAGTTTATACAAAACGAGGAAATATAATTTCGCAGTGTCGGATGGATCCTGTTGGTCGTATACGGAATGCAAATCAGCTGGACGGCCTGTCCACGCAGAAGAAGTCTGATCACAACCGGGATAGCGTTACTTCTGATTTTGGGGTGTTACAAAACGGTTCTGCGAAACAGAGACTGGACGTCCAGGGAGACTCTGCTCAGGTTAGTCGATAGTTTGGTACACTTTCGTCGAGTATATATCTCGATCCGCTCTGTTGCATACCGATCGTTGTGTACAAAGCCTGTGATAACATTAGGCCGATGACGCACAAGCTAATAAGAGAATGAAATATGACTAAGAAAATCCAATGTGTTTTCTGGGATGATTAAGAATTGATCGAATGTTATTTTAACCCCTTCCTGCGGATATTATTTGGATATGTGCCTTTGGAAATTGTGTGTGTTCTTCAAAATAACAAAATTGTGTATGCCATTTATCGATTTAAACATTCGAAAACACTTAAAGGTTTTAGACAATATTTAATATCATCCACACCATATAAAAAAAAAAACGAAATTAAACTTTGACTTAAACGCATACGAAACTATACAATTCGTGGAATAAAGTGTCACATTTGACGTTTCTCAGATCGCCAGGAAATAAATGGACGTTCGGACATGTTAACGTTCCCCTTTTTACTGAAAAACACGCAGAACCTTCTCCCTAATTTCTATACGTCGATGAAAATTAGATTCTGCAAATATAAAGAGAATCGCAAAATTTCAATCTATCTATACAAACTACGTGGAAGTCGTAACAGTGCAATCATGTTCGATCATTTATTTCCCATCAATCACATACTTTCCATCTATCTACTACATAAAAATCCATTAATCTCATCAAAATATACATCCGTAACACGGTTACGTGACCACAGTATTTCCACAAAATCACACTTGAACGTACTAGAAATTCTGATCATATCGAAACCAGATACAAAATTTACAATGAAATATTATCGTAAGAAAAACTCCGTACAAACCATTGTTACACTCTAAGAAACGAGTTCCGCGTTATCGAAACCTTTGCGACTGGTAATTCGCAACGTGGTAAGCCCGTTCGCGGCGGCCGGTGATCCCCGCGTCGGAATTCACGAAATCGCGAAGTAATTACGCGAAGATTTACGGCCGGCTCTCCGTCACGACTCGAACAACGCTCGTGGCACGGAGCCAGGTCGACGGTCTCGCGCCTATGACCGAAAGTTGCACGGTAGCAATTGGACCGTGCGCAACGATACGAAACGTTAGCTATCGTAGATAACGGGGTGACGAGAGAAAGAGGACATAGGGGGTTTGGGTAGCAGGGGTGTATGGGAGAGCGAGCTGGTCTTGTCTGACCCGGAATCGCGTTGTTGCAGAGCTGGCCTGCGGTCCCTGCCCCACAACGCCAAGATGCATTACAACTTCGCCAACTTCCTCAGAGACATGTCGCAGCCGAACCGTGCGATTCTGCATTACCAGCTGGCCCTTTGGTGAGTACACCGTCATTGATGTTGTTAATTCCGCCCGAGAGCTCTGTTAACCTCTTAAGGCTTCCACAAACCAATGCGAAATATTTCGTGGCAATAATGCTTTATAGGCATCATGTTTTGGACAAAACAAGCAAATTGTTAAGACTTCGTAGAATGATTACTAATTACTCTTCCGAGCTATTCAAGAATTTCAATTAATTAATCATCCGTACAAGATTGAAAAACGATTCTCGTATCGTCGAAAATAAAATCGCAGACAAATTCGTTAATGAATCTCAACGTCAAGAAATGTACAATACGAAATCTTCACTGATATAGAGGTTTAATTTCAAAATCACCAGGAACCTGCCCTCGATTACCCGTTCGAAAACCATGAGAATTAAGTGTACGATCATTTACGCGCCGCGAGCACCCTGCATAATGCATATGTACGCGCGGAACCTTTTTCAATATCCCAGCCGGAGGCGTGCAGACGAGGGCATCGGCCGACATCGTCCTTTCCCTTCAATAGGATCCCTCATCCCTGGAAAGCTACTGTTAAGTCTTCCGCGTGGCTCTAGACTACCCCGCTTCAATTTGCATTAAAACCGAACCCCGCGCTCGGAAATACACGTAGCGCGGCGGTTTTCTCGCGAGAAAGTGTTTCCAGGAGAACCCCTCCCCCGCCCAGACAGTCTGCCCGCAGACGATTTGAAAGCCACTCGCGGTCGATGAATTTCCCCTCGTTTGCTCGGAAAATTCTTCTCGACTCGTCGGTTCCACACGACGAAATGCGGTTTTAATGCCCCGCGATATGAAAAGCGACGCGACACGCGTCCCTGTTGGCACTTAATACGCCGACGGGAGTTCAAGAGTTCAATCGTTATCGGTTGCTCTTACATCCGCGGAAAATTCACAATTTCACCTGTTCTGTATTATTTTCTACTCACTTTAATTTCCATTGGTGCAATCGTTGTTTTTTTTTTAGTTCGAACTAGACTGCGGATGTTTATGCAAAATATCATTTTATGACGTGATTTACAAAGGGAGGAGTAAAAATAAAATGTTCTTTACTTTCTCGGGGATTCGATTGGGATAGAAATAAAATAAAAAATGTATCGAACTCTATCGAATATTTGGTATATTTCACATGGTAATGTATGCTATAAATGCATAAAATCCGCACAGTCTAGTAATAATGTAAACAGTATATTCCTATTAATGTAACAAAGTATAATTATATTTAATAACATTATACTTGAATCTGACTAGTCAATATTCACCGTCGAAAGTGATTAAGGTACTATACTCAACATGGAACAATGTTATAAACACCACGATCTCAAAACAACGTATTTCTTTCGAAAAAAATGGGGCTCAACGTGCGATTCGGAGAGATATAAAACCGAAACATCGAACGTACCGTCGCGAAACGACACGATCCCGTTCCGCGGGGCCAGAAGTGCATAAATCAGGCTACTCACCGACATCCCTCTGACAGCCGGATTTTCACCGCACCGTTTCCCTCACGCCACACACCTTTCCTCCCTCGCGATCGATTCAGCAATAATTTCGACGGTAACACGCGCGAAATGAACGTCCTGAATCGGTGGATCGTTGCGATAATCACATACAAGAGGTCGTCTTGTATCAGGCTGCACCGACCTGGTGAATTAAAAATCGTTCGACTGCCAGAGAGGACGGCGGACGGTCCGTTTCGAGCGAATAAAACGGTCATGGATCCCTGTTCGCGAGCGTCTGATCGCTCGACGGAATCGATGTCTCCGACGGAAGCTCGGTCGGCAAACGAGGAGAAAGCTTAAATCTACACGATCGGTTCTTCTTCCGATTTTTTTTTCTTCTTTCGTTCCTTTTTTCTTTCGTTTACCTCTCCCTCCTGCGCCCTCTCTAGCGAGCCTGACGAGACACGCCTGGGCGAGGGGGACGCGCTTATCAAAGCTGTAAGAGGTTTACTGACAACGACTGGTATTCCGATAATGAAAATTCCACTTCCACGTTTCGCGCGAAATCCTTTTGAAGTCGGCACTTCCAATGAGCCGACTCCCCCCTTCGTTTCTTCGTTCCATGGAACGAAGAACCCCGTACCCACGTTTCTTTTCACGTTTCGTTCGGCCAGCTTTCTGCATCACGGCATAGGAGAGCCTTCGGTAGCTTCGGCGGTGGACCATCGAATGTCTGTTCCGCCATCTTGTGTAAACATCCTCGCCGATACGAAGTACAGGCGTTTACACAGCTCTTCGTTTCTTTTTTTTTTTTTCGATCTTTTCTTTTGTCAATATTATTTCATACGCAGGGAAACGAAACGCGCATGGCTTAATTAAGGGGGAGACGCGACGACGCAGGTGCGAGTCCAATGAGAGAATGGAAATTATAAAAGACGTCGGGAGAAGTAATTTCGATTCTGTGCACCATCGACAGCTAGTGGATATAATAACAAGAACGGTTCGCTGTTCCAGAGCAGTCTTTGTTTATTAATTTTCCGTCGTCTGTTAATTGGATTCGTTATCGAATCGATGGTGCGTGGCGTTATGAATTGCGTTCACGAGTTTGCGACCGTGTCGAGGCGGGTAGATCGATCTCAGGCGGGATATTTTCGTGGTTTCCTTTCGTTTGTCGTTGAGTAATGAAAATATTTTGTATTTGTGTCACGGGGAGTGATAACACGATGCGCTTTTGTTAGTCCACCGCGTGTGCAAACCAGGGTGCTTTCGTGTTGTATTTGGAGAGTAAATTAAGGTGTAAAAGCGGATCCTCTGCTTACCTTCCGTTTACACTGTTTTGATTGGTTCTCGAGAGGGACCCTTCCACTGATGGGAATAACGACGTTGTTCGTATCGCATTCCTACACAAACTAACACAATCAATCCTCATTCGCAACAGTTCCGCTATAAATAAGTCTATATCTCAGAAGTTCTGGAAGAAAAAAAGAGGATCGTAAAAATTGCCGGAAGATGGGGAGCAGCCAGCGATCGCCACCGATGCCTCATCAGCTCGAGACGTGTGACGAAATTTCGTCCAGTCTATCGCGCTTCTAGTCGTAACCCCGTCCGATTTTTACGCTGACAGCCGGCAGAAGCCGCGGGTGGGGGTGTGTGGGCTGCGGGAAATGGAAAAGTGCAACGATTCGTGAATTTCTGAAACTGCTCGTTCGCTCCGACGATTTCGTACCTTCGCATTCGGATCCGGTAAGCAAAATTAATCCGTGCACACCGGTGTACACCGTTCACAGGGCCGAGTAAAATGCAGGATCCAATTAAATAATTCAAGCATCACGGAGCAATTAAGGGTTCGCCTGGCGAGAGCGCACCCACGCGCATCGTGTACCACGCGTTCGAGCCACGTGAAAACACGTGCAAAAACTCAGCTGCGAAAAACACTCGATATACGTCGATACCAGAAAAATCGAGTGGCAACCGAGTGTTCCATCGAGTGGAACGTGAAAAGGATTTCACCTGGAGTGATTATATTCGCGTGTGAGTCTCATTTACGCTGTGGGTCAACAATGTCGAGAATTGTTCGGGTATACATGGCGATGAAGGTTCTCCAACAAGTGTATTATCGGTATAGTGTTCCTGTTACATTTTTAGTATATTCTTCAGTCTAGAAATATTGGACTTTAAATTCTGAGACGACCAAAGGTTCGGTAGATTCTTAAGTAGTGATTACGAAATTGGTGAAGATTCGATGCATTTACGTCATCGAATAATACGAGTATTATTGTTATATGTACTTTTGTTAAGGTCTCCATTCTTCGGTAGTTCCTATACTACAGGTTCTGAATGGAATGGTTAAACATAGATAGGGAAAATATCAGATGGAACAGAATGGTGAAAAGGCAAAGTAAGAAGTCACCCCTAATTATGAATTTTTATATTACCATAGCTAAATGTGTACCAGAGAAGAAAGAACGCGGTGGACATTGTTCGTTAGAGGGAAGAATAATTCTACGACAGAGAAATATTGGTTTAATGAAAATCTTTAATTGGAGGATGACGTAACGGGCGCATACGTGAAACGTAGAGAAACGTGTAATAAACAAAGGTGAAAGAAGGTATCTACTGTTACCCGGAACACGAGGAAAATAAGAGTTCGGAATAACATCGCATAGCTGCAGAGCAGCATTTTAATGAACGTTCCTGGTCCCGTTATACGCGATTTTTTTTATGGAAAATAGCGATGAAAAGGTGAGCCTGTTTGGCTGTTACGTCTAGCGTAGGGAATGTCACTGGAAAATGAGCAGTATAATTGTCAAACGAATGTCAGTATTTGCATTCTTTTCTGCCTTGACAATACATTTTAATATTTTATTCAACAGTGTAAGTCTTTAAGAAATTAGGCCAACTTCGTCGTGTTCCTCGATGTAACATAATTTTGGTGGACGTCCTAGAACCTCTGGAGCTTCTTTCGAACCAAGAAACTAGGAAAACTTATTTTTATTTCAGGATGTTTTAACAAAAATTTAACCTCAGATTTCCAGGCAAATTCTCCCGTGAATATATTACCGAATAAAACATCCCCTTATGAAATGTACATTCTATCTTTCTGTTTTTACCATTTCTTCTGTCATTAGACGCGTATTATTGAATCGAGCAGTCGCGATAATGGCGATTCGATTGATAGCGTCCCTCTATTTAGGCCATTTTGCGTTCACGATGAACGCGATCGAGTTCGCCTTAAAACGAAATGAAGCAACACCGGGGATGGGAGGACAACCTAACTTAGAGACGATTTTACCACCTTCGCAAAGTATACTGGGAGCCACACAATGCATTCGCGTGACACTGAAGAATTTTAATGGTCCGACACTTTCATAATCTTCTGGCGGCTTTATATCACAGATTCTTTTGCACAAGAGTCGACTCGAGGCACGATGTTTATTAATGGAGGGGCATCTCGTATGTCCCACGGGTTAATTAAAAAAAAAGTCGACCAATATAAAGGTCGCTCGAAGTGAAGCCTGACTTGGCACATTGCACGACACGAAAGGAATTCTATTCAAA